CCAACCCTAATCATTCTGTGATTCTATGATTATAATATTTCCTGAAACTTGATGTTTGTCTTGACCTCTTAAGGAGCAGTTAGGTGCCTGGCTGTGAATTGAGACACTATCCTGATTATTCACAAAACATTATGCAAAGCAGTCAAATTAATTACCGTTTAGCTGTAGTTACAGTCACTTGTTGAAAGAGCAGGTCGGTATGATTGTGAGATAAAGTTTGTTATTTAATTTAGTGAGACTTTTGGAGCTCTTGGAAGTTCAGTGTATTTGAGCTCTAATTTGCTTTGGCATTTTGCTTGTTGATAGATGTGTTAAATCATGCCAATAAGTTGGCAGACTGCATGAGAGGCATTCTCTTACAGAGAATATTGTCGTCAGTGGTATTGATTTATGTAGAGAGTACATAAAACATCAGAATATTAATGGGGCTTGAATGATATGGTCAAAACATTGGCTTTCTGAGCAGCAAAATAGAAAAATTATTTTGTTGTCAAAACTGTCACTACCAGAGTCATACAAGTCAGCAAGCTCAGTGTAGCTTTGGCCTGTTTAAATATGCTAGTTATTGTTAATTACTGATGTTAATATGGCACAGTTCATAGTAACAGCTATTTCCTTACTTGTTGTTACTTTAAAAGTTTAGATTATTGAAGCAGGTCTTTACCTGCTTATTTGTTTTTACAAAGTCATTTCATTCTTAGTTTGTGTGTTGTTGCAGAGTTGATTAGAAACCTGAATTTTGGGGAGCTTGCCTTTGTTCACGAAGCTTTCATGTGGATTAATTAGCATAGCCTTCCCATGTGTTACATGCCTTCAAAGCACGCTGGCCTGTACTCATGGGTGTAAGTGTTTTCGTTTTCATATTTTCACAAGAAAACCCACTCATTCTTGTGCCAAGAAAAAGGGAAACAGCAGTGTGAATGCATTACAGGAAATCTTTCACACTTCAAAGGAGCTGCGGTGATCAGTAAACTCTCCTGAACCTCGCAGGAGGCAGAAGCCAGGCCCCAGCTCAGCAGTGCTGCTGCAGCTTGGCCATTGCTGGGTTTGAACACGCTCTGTCCTTCTGTTGGTCCCTTTCCCTGCCTGCCCTTTTCTCAGAATTGAAGCAGAGGGTGGGGAGGATTCATTAAATCATAGAATCACAGAATGGTTTGGGTTGGAAGGGACCTCAAAGATCATCCAGTTCCAACCCCTCTGCCATGGGCAGGGACACCCTCCACTACACCAGGTTGCCCAAAGCCTCATCCAACCTGCCCTTGAACACGTCCAGGGATGGGGCAGCCACAGCTTCTCTGGGCAACCTGTTCCAGTGCCTCACCACCCTCAGAGTGAAAAATTTCTTCCTTATATCCAATCTAAATCTCCCCTCTTTCAGTTTAAATCCATTGCCCCTTGTCCTATCACTACACACCCTTGTAAAAAGTCCCTCTCCAGCTTTCCTGTAGAGCCCTTTTAAGTACTGGAAGGCTGCAATAAGATCACCTCGGAGCCTTCTCTTCTCCAGGCTGAACAGCCCCAACTCTCCCAGCCTGTCTCCATAGCAGAGGTGCTCCAGCCTTTGGATCATCTTTGTGGCCTTCTCTGGACTTGCTCCAACAGTTCCATGTCCTTCTTGTGTTGGGGGCCTCAGAGCTGAACGCAGCACTGCAGGTGGGGTCTCACGAGAGCAGAGCAGAGGGGCAGAATCCCCTCTCTCAACCTGCTGGCCACACGGCTTTGGATGCAGCCCAGGACACGGTTGGCTTTCTGGGCTGGCAGTGCACATTGCTGGCTCCGGTTGAGCTTCTCCTTGACCCGCC